AATATGCGTTTTTGCTGCCTGTTGCAGCGCTCTAGCGCTGCACGGCAAAAACGCATAAAAACCCATTCCCTAAATGAGCCGTGCTTGGGATCAGTTAAAATCAGAGTCAAAACTTTCTCCATATTCGTTCTGTGTGAGGAACCGAGGAGCAACTGAAAAACAGCGCATAGGTGAGGAGGGGTTTGGCTTCGATTGCTCAGCTATTTGTCCATTGCTAAGCGATCGATAGCCTTGCCCAGTTGCGTGCAGTCGATGGCTCACACTTTCGAGGGTTGCTTACAAGCAAGTTGATGGCTTTGGAACAAAAGCTGTAATGTCCTTGGTGTATGTTGAACATCATCCCGCTTTATCCCGGGGCGGTTCTGGCGTTCATTGCCCTCGATGAGGTAACTTTATCGAGTAGAAAAACATAGGCGGATCCAAAGAGAAGGGAAGGGGGCAATGAATCTTCCGCCCTCCCCAGCGGCGCGGGCACCAGCGCTGCAAAAGCCCTGGTCTGTTCATAAATAAAACTAAAGTAACTCTAAGTAGCAGTGTGGTACAACTCTGTTCCTAGTTTTCGCATAGTTCCAGGGCGTTAAGGGGCTCTCCTCTCGACCCCCATCGCCCTCCCCCGTCCTCTTGGATCCCCATTCTCACACCTCTTCGCCCAAGGAGTTCGTCCTGAATCCGCCCGTGGTAAGAAGTAAAGAAGATGATGGGTTAAATTTATTGATGGCGTCTAGAGCAGTATTGAAGGATTGCTCAATAACGACAATGTGTTGTTATCAGGATGCTATTTCAAAGGAATGAGCTAGAATATTACTTTTATTTCGATTTTCCAAGTCCTATAAGGCAAAATATAACTTTAAAAATCTGCTAAAAGAAGAGTATTCACAAAACCATCTTTCTTTACATTAATATTAATACTTTTCTTTGCACTTATTGCATTTTTTTCGTTGCGAGGCCCTTCGATCGTGGGTTGCATACTTCCATAATCAGTATTCATTGCCTGTTCGATGTATGTGCGCTACCTCTTCGTAATCTCTTCAGTTGATCATTTACCTTCTCGCGGATACCACTCACTAATACGCAACGTCCACTGTTGGCCAGCAGAGCGAGCAACATGTCCTGCCCATCGGATTTTACTTCTTTTTTTTTGATCGATCATATCGAAATCTTTTTTTTTTTTTTTTTTGATTTTTACTCTTTTATTTTATTCAATTTCCTTATTTTTTTCTTCATATTACCACAACTGCTGTACTGACGAAGTCTGTTTTGGTACTAAATAGGGATGTATACAATTTAGGATTATTATTTACTTTCATTTTATTCAATTTCCTTTTTTTTTTCATATTACCACAATCGTCATACTGACAAAGTCTGTTTTGGTACTAAATAGGAATGTAGACGATTTAGAATTATTACTTTCATTTTATTCATTTTCCTCTTTTTCATATTACCACAGCTGTTGTACTGACGAAGTCTATTTCGGTGCTAAATAGGAATGTATACGATTTAGAATTATTGTTTACTTTCATTTTATTCAGTTTCCTTTTTCTTCATATTACCACAATCGTCATACTGACAAAGTCTGTTTTGGTAGCAAATAGGAATGTATACGATTTGGAATTATTATTTACTTTCATTTTATTCAATTTCCTCTTTTTTTCATATTACCACAATCGTCATACTGACAAAGTCTGTTTTGGTACTGAATAGGAATGTATATGATTTAGAATTATTATTTATTTTCATTTTATTCATTTTCCTCTTTTTTCATATTACCACAATCGTCGTGCTGACAAAGTCTGTTTTGGTACTGAATAGGAATGTATAAGATTTAGAATTATTGTTTAGAGTTAGAATTATTTCTATTTTTAAAATTATCATTTTTTTTTTCAATTTTTTCCTGGACTCTTTTGTTTTAAAATCGTCAGATTCTCTTGTACCGTTATTTCCTGCTCATAGGATTTGTTTTTCGTTCGATCATATCGCAATCTTTTTTTTTTTTTTTTTTGTTTTCAGTATTACTTTCATTTTATTTAATTTTCTCTTTTCATGCATATTATTACCACAGCCGTCGTGCTGATGAAGCCTTTGGTACTAAGTAGGGATGTTTACGGCTCAGAATTATTATTTAGAGTTAGAATTATTTTTTGTCTTTAGAATTATCATTCTTATTTCAGTCTTTTCCCGGAATGTTTTCTTACATAATCATCAAATCCTCTTTTATATCATTATATTGGAAAAGTATATTAACAAGGGATGAAATAAGAAGAAAAATAAAAAGGAAATTAGGGAATGAGAATTAGAAAATTAAAAAATATAAAATTCGTAAAATCATTATAATGATAAGAAATGTTTCGGTCTATTAAATTGTATACATTTCTTACCATTACCACAATTGGACCTCGTCAGCACGACGATTATGGTTGAATTTAGTGGATTTTGATCACATAACTGACCCTCTGATTGTTTATCTAATAAATGAGCATACGATTCGTGTAATCAAACGAACTTTTTTTTAGGATGATTCGGATCAAAACTAACATTGCGGGTCTGTGCGGATGTGCTGTTCGCCATGCTTCCGCTTTCAGGTAACATTCTTTTTCTTTTTGCACCTGGAGATACCTAACGGATCTGGCGCAGTGGCAGTTAGTACCATTCAGATGCTGCTTTTTGAGATCGAGGGTTCGAGGGTTCAAAATTTCCAATTGGTGGATTGGGGGCTGCACTGATGATTCCCACCCCAGTCTACACCGCATACTGTCTGTGTTTGTAGCTTAGAGATGAAACACAGACAGCCAGGTTCACATTTAGCT